GAGGACCCCTCCTCCAGGGGGACGCTGCGGAGGCTCAAGGATTTGGCCTCAAGCTCACGTGGCACTTGGTCACAACATGTCACTTCCCATGCACTACCTGCTCGCTGGCCAGCTCCAAGCAGAGAGCCTTACTCTCGCTGGGTCCTTGGGACCTGGCTCAACATCAGAAGTCAACAAAGACTTGTGCAATCACCATCCGGGGCTGAGGTGTTTTCAAACGCGGAGCGCTGGCCGAGCTCTGCCAGTGAGACACCCTCTGGAAGCAGAGCCCTTGCCTGGCCGGGCTGCCCACTCCACCTTGGTGGCATCTCCCTGTTTCTGGGATGGCCAATCCTTAGACCTTTCTCCCTTCTTCCCATTCCTTCGCTGGGAGCTGAAGGTTGCGATTCCCTGTGTGACCAGTAGATGGTGCTAATGACCCCTGGCTCCAGTCTGAGGGTTTGGATTTCAGGGGGGTTCCCACTAGCCTGAATGATGACAGCAGCTCACTGCACCTACCCTGCTTGGGCTGGCACTGTGCTTGATGATGAACCCCCGCTTTCCTCCTGGGAGTGTGGATTGTAGGGTGTGCTTGGCAGAGGAGACCAACGTGGCCAGCTCCGATCAAAACCCTTGGTGCTGGGTCTCCAGGGCGCTTCTGTGAGTGGCAGCACTCCACGTGTATGGTCACAGTTCACTGCTGAGGGAGTGAAGCTCACCGGGTCTGATCCATCGAGACAGGGCCCTGGGAACCGAGGGGACAATAGGACAAGGGCCCATATGGCGTTGCTCTGTGCAGTTCTGAAACCAACCAGAGCTATGGGTGCAGGCCTGGGGGCCGAGTCACAGGAACTCTCCCAGTGAGCAAATGAGCCCGGGCGAGGTCTTGACACAGGGCCTCTGACACAGGAGCACACACATTCAGGGCTGTCACGACCTCAGTTAACTGGCCCTTTCATCATTACCTCTGGTTACAGGCCTCACCTTGAACCCTGCTTTGTCCAGCAGCAGCATCGCCATGCCAGCTTTCCTATGCCCTGTGTTGGGGTAGCTTGCCAAGCACAACCGACAAGAACCATTTGGTCACTCTGTGGCAGAAGGGGATCCTCCACGTGCACCCCAAGTCACTGGGCTCCACCCACTCTTGTAGGTGTTCTAGGGGTGATGGCACCAGCCCCTCCAGCGGGCTCCCTCCCGCTGAAGGGCACTGGTGGGGTACAGAGCCAAGTGTGCAAAACGCTTGCCAAGCACAAGCACACCAGCTTCAGACGTGCCCCACGCTGAGCTGCCTGGAAGCTCTGTGTTGTGGCGGTGGTCCTGGGTGACAAGCTGGAGGCCACCCTGCTGAGCCTCAGCCGGCTAGGCACATAACTCAGGCAACCCGGACTGCCTGTACGCTTCACCAGCTCCCCCTCAGCCCTCTGACCAAGTGTCAGAAAGTGCTGACCAAATCGCTGAGCTCACATTAGCTCTGCTGACGGGCCACTTCACCTACCCGAAGGAATGGGCACCGTGACACCGTGCGGAGAAAGCCATGGGGATTGTATGCTGATGGGAAGCCCCAGCTGGGCTGCGTGCGATGGCAGTGACAACCAGTGGGAACGAACGTCCTTACCTGCCTGAGCGGCGGCCCTTCAAGCCACTTCAGGACACACTGGAACGCCGTGGACTCCCTCGCTGGCTGGCGCGCCCTCTGCAGGTGCGGCAAGACTAGCACGTTTTGGGCAAAGACCCCCTGCCACTCCTTCATGCTGCCAAGCTGAGGGTCGCTGCTGGCGGGGCCTCAGGATCCCCTGCACCAACCCTGTGCACACACATGAAAGCAGCTGTGAGGTCAGAGTGCGCAGAGCCATTCTGGAAACTTCCTTTCCCACCAAAGCCCCGAGGAACTTGCACATCCAGGACCCACGCTCCGCGACCCCACCTCCAAACACCTGCACGGTGGATGGCTTTGGAGCTGGTTGACAATGCTTCCCTAGGGAAACCTGCTCACCTGGCCCCAGGGACCCCCTCTGCCCCATCTCCCCTGGCCAGCTGGAGCACCAGCAGCCTGGACTTTGTGGCTAGTGTCAGGGAGGAAATGTGCGGGGCTATTCGGCACAACTGCAAGTCAAGCAGGGCCCCGGGGAACTGGGCCTGGCAGGCAGGGCTGCGTGGCAGCTGAGCACGGTCAGAGCAGGGGGCTGTCGTGGAGGCCCTGGGAGTGTGGCCATCTCAGAGCAAATGACCTGTCGTCCGGGGCTCCACTGGGCCGGTTCTCTTTTGTAGCCCTTAAAGCTAAGGGCAGTCCTTCCTCCGATGCCAGCCTGGTAGACCACCTGGCCACCACAGCCATGGGGAAAGCCCGCCAAGGAGCTGGGAGGGCAGTGCTACCACCAGGGCCCAGTCCTCCAGGTGGGCCCGGCCTGGTGAGACCCTGCTCCCTGCCCCACCAGAGCTTAATTACAAGGACCAAGAGCATCCCCCAGGGACTTTGTCTTTCCACTGAGCTTCCTGATCAGCTGTATCACAGCCTCCAAAAAATGTTCCATCAGGAACCCTGGAGCCTGTGATGACGTGACCTGACCTGCAAAGGGGGCTTGGCAGACGTGACCGAGGCCAGGCACCGTGAGGTGGGAGGTGGGCCTGGTGTCCTCACAGAGGTCTGGGCCAGTCAAGAGAAGGCCACATGCGGGCATGGCAGAGGCACTGGAAGATGCTGAGTTCAGGCTCTGAAGACGGATGGACGGAGGAGCCAGAAGCCGGAGCTGACAGAGGCAGGGGAACCAGATCCTCCCGCCGCCCGCCACCCCAGCTGGGCCCACCTGAGACGGTGTATTAGTCTAGGTACTTTGGAGAAACAAATCCACAGCGACTCATGTATAAGAGAGAGTTTTATGTAAAGAAAATGTGCATCA